CCCCAAAACCCCAAAACCCCAAAACCCCAAAACCCCAAAACCCCGATATTTACATTAACTATCGAATTATAATTAATAATCTACCAAATTTTACAAATTAAAGATGTTCAAGATCAACGTTAAGTGGGGTAAACAGAAGTTTAAAGACCTCGAACTCAACACAGAAGAAGGTGCCGAAACCTTTATGAACCAACTCTACTCTCTGACGAATGTCCCTGTTGACAAACAGAAAATCACGATCAAAGGGACCAAACTCAAGACAGATACCGATCTCACAAAGCTCAAGCTCAAAGACGGCATGACAATCATGATGATCGGAACTGCAGAAGGCAAATTCCTCAAAGAGCCCAAAGAGAAAACTGTGTTCTTAGAAGATCTCACACCTGAAGAAAAAGCCAAGCTGTTCAAAGAGAAAACTGGTAAGGCTTTGCCAGCAGGACTCGTCAACTTAGGAAACACCTGATACATGAACTCGCTCGTCCAGTGACTCGGCAAGAGCAAAGAACTCGTCAAAGCGATTCAGGAACACCAGCCTGGTCCAGGAGACTCCAACCCTCATAACCAACTCGTTGTAGCAGCCAAGTCGATGTATTCAGACTTAGAGTCCAAGGGTGAGAGCTTTCCGCCTTACTCATTTGTGCAGAAGCTCAGGACTCTGCACCCTCAGTTCGATGAAACCGACAACCAAGGACGCCACATGCAGCAAGACTCTCAAGAATGCTTCAATGCAATTATGAGGTCGTTTGAGGCAGCCAACATGCGCATCGACTTCGGCGGAGAAGACAAGAACCTGATTCAACACTTGTTTGACATCGACCTTGAAGTGACTCTGGCGAACACTCAGTGAGAAGAAGAGGAGAAGAAGGTTTCACACGAAAAAGCCAAAATGCTTTCGTGCACAATCGACAACCAGAACAAGCCGATCAGCCACTTGTTCGATGGCATCAAGCTCAACCTCGAAGGAGAAGTGGAGGCCCACAGCGAAGTGACAGACTCCACCAACATTTACAGAAAAGAAATGAAGATGAACAACTTGCCTCCCTACTTGGTCTGCAACTTAGTCAGGTTCTTCTGGAAGAAGGAGTCTGTCACGGCTGGAACCCAGGCAGGAAAGTCTAAAATCCTCAAGAACGTGTCATTCCCTATGGTTCTGGACACCTATGATCTCTGCTCCGAAGATCTTAAGAAGAGCCTGAGCCACGGTCGCGAGTACGAGACTCGTCTTCGTGAAGAACATGATAGCAAAGTGCTGAGTGGAAAGGCAGAAGACGCCAAGATGGAAGATGAAGCAAAGAAGGATGAAAAGAAGGATGAAAAGAAGGATGAAGAGAAGAAGGAAGAAAGCAAAGACGCAGAAATGGAAGAAGAAAAGGTAGAGACAGCCACCACCAAGAAAGCAAAGAAGACTACTCAACCAACTATTAATGACAATATCGCTTATAGGGATCACGGAGTTGGTCTTGATACTGGAAAATATCAATTAGTTGGAGTTGTTACTCATCAAGGAAGAACAGCAGATGGTGGTCATTATATTGGATGGATTCATTCAACAGGAGATGAATGGCTTCAGTGTGATGATGATTTTGTTTCAAGAGTAACATCCCAAGAAATTCTCAACCTTAAGGGTGGTGGTGACTGGCATATGGCTTACCTGTTGGTCTATAGAAAGATAGAAGTTGTTGAAGGAGATGAGATATAATTTATAAAATCATCAACTAAATTCTAGAAAAGAGGGGTTTTGGGGTTTTGGGGTTTTGGGGTTTTGGGG